ACTGTTAAAGTATGAATTGTTCGCTATACCAGTTCATACTCTGGTTCTGTTCTAACAACATGGTTTGTAAACACTGAAAGGTAGACTAATATGTCGGTGTGTTTCAACCTAACTTAGATGAGTATGTAAGATGGTAGGTTTATAGCTGCCCGCCTAACATTCTTCAATCTTCATAGAATATGACCAATGATGAGGTTGTACATGACCCTCAACAAGGCTCCTAGATCTTCCTATAGAAATACTCTTAAAAAGTTAAGTTAGGGAGAGATGTAGTTTGTAGAGAGATAGCGGTAATAGGTTGTGTTAAACTAAATAAGAAGCATAGTGGTAAATGTAGTTATTCTTGCATTAGTTGGAGCACTAATTTCAATGTTAGGCATTTTGAGGAATTTCATAGAGCTTGTTGGGCATTTAGGAATCATTAGTTATTGTGTCAAGTTGTTTTGTATTTTCATGTCATGTATTTATTGCACATTGGTTGCTCCCTGTCATAGTGCCGCTCTGCACTTTCCATTTGGGGTTTATGTGTTATTTTTGGTTTACATCTTCGGATGGACTCCTTTGTGTAATTTTGGTTGGGTCGATCTTTAATTTATCTTCTTTATGTTCTTTTACTTTTTCCCTTAGGCTTATTCTAAATGTAAAAATTTCCTATATGCAGTAATAGAGCGTAAGTTGATGAGGGAGAAAATAATCTTTTCGGAATATTTTGTTAACTCTTACCAAATCGAACAAGTAGGTCATACCGTAGAAGTCAAACGTTTGGAGTCCCGAGACTTGATATGGGCATGAGAAAGTAGAATGTTAACTTCCCTCAAATCAAAGTTGCCAACGTGGCCACCTCCAAGGCCTCTAAGCTTCCCATGGAACCATGCCAGCGAGGAATGAATGGGGTGGGTATCTCAATACCAAGGTTCACGTGAATGCGAGACAATGTGGGATTAGTCGACTTAAGAAATCAACAACTCGTATGTTGCTGATACGAGAGCATGTGTCTAGGAACTCTAGGAGGAGCTTACCTGTGCAACACCTTCCTCTCTTGTCTTCTTTCACTGGCCAACTTACTATACATTTCCTGTCCTCCACTTGCTTTCCTTTTCACTTTTTGTTTTGTAAAACATGAGTCAACTCAACCTCCTGCATATGCTTTCTAAAATCATATAACTCGTCCCTCACCACCTGAGTAAGTGGTTGTGAGAAACTCTAAGGACTACGATCATGACCTTTGGGATAGGTAAATTTGAACCACGTACTACACGCGATCAAATTTTGACACCATTGCACGGGACATCTACGTAATTGTCGAAATTGGAATGTGGTAAGATTTCTATTCCATATATTTTCATTTTCTTTTTGTTTATGTTTGTTTTCATTTAAGTGAATTTTCATTTGAATTTTGAGTCGAGTCCAGCAGAGGAAAATCTGCGACCAAGGGCCTTTCTTGACAGAATCGATCCCTATACGATTATGTGATTTTGGCTCCCTTCTGAAACCACATACCCTATTATGTGGCGTAACATCATAATCATGAGTGACTGGTCTGTATTATGGCTCGATAACCGTGCATGACTTAATCATTTCGAGAACTCGATCTTAGAATATGAAGCATTTTCATGGGTTCGTTAATGAAAATCCTTATGACCATCTCGACAAGATCCAAAACCTATTAGTATTTGAACGACGTTTTAATATGGAACCTAAATACATACTTGTAGGTCTCTTCTCCTTTTCCCTCAAAGGAAGAGCGAAGAAATGATTTGACGACCTTCCCTCGAATTCACCCTTACGTGGGTGGATCTATCCCAGACATTCGTTGATAAATACTTTCCACTGTGGAGAGATAATATGCTAGCAAGTTGAATTATAAACTTTAGGCAATAGGATCAAGAACCTCTGTATGAGGCATGACAACATTACATGCTATACGTTGATAACCACCCCAGCCATAGATTTGACCCAGTCCAGCTAGCACATATGCTTGCTGATAGGTTGAATCATGAATTAGAACAGTTCCTGCATTTTGTTTCTGGAGGTAACATTTGGGAGGTGCCTAATAACCAAATCCTAGGTCAATTCACGTATGTTGCCGAGCTATCCCATAGAAGAAGGGTGGTTGCACCTCTGGGCAAGAACTCTTCTTTCAAATGGAAAACAAACAAGGAGTGTATTCTTGACCAACCCCAACGCATGAACACACCTAGACCAACTTATGGTCAGGTATTCCCCACACAATCACCATTGGCCGAGAGTGTCAACTCCATCATGAATGAGTGGGACTCAGGAAAAGGATCAAGAAGGGTATCAAGCTTGTCGCCCCCTTCAAACATTTCTCCATTCGACATAGAGCCTTAAAATAATGAAAAACAATTAACGAGATGGAGACCGAGCTCACTCTAGTTGAGTCACACCCCACAAACTTAGAAGTTGAATTGATCAACTTTAACCGAGCATAACACATGGATTATCTGGGTGAGGAGATGAGCCTCAAGCCCAAGTCCAGTAAAGTTAAGCCGACTACCTATTACAACGCTGACTCTTGAGTCGTTACGTGGCAATGATCAAAAGCTACCCTCGGAAACAACTTGAAATAAGACCAATATGATCGAGAGCAATCTGGCAATATGAGTGAAAAAGGAATCACGAGTTGGGTCTTATTAATACATAATGTCCTTTATCTGGCTTCAAACTTCTAGACCTTGTGTTTGGGGCAACCACATGCAGAAGGGACTCGTACGAAAGAAAATTCTCACCCTTGGGGAGATCCAAAAATTGTCGCCTAATTTAGCAAGCCAGACCGCCGAATTGGGCTTCTGGCCTCCGTTTTCTTTGGATTGAGTCAAATCCACTTTCGATCGGCATGGACCCCCGGACGAACTTCTATCCTCGTACAAAATTCCTTTTTGCATACCCAATTAAAAGGGAAAACTTTTTCCACAAGAAAAAAATTATTAATTTCTAATTCCTTACTTTTTTTGGAAAAGGGGTCTTATCTCTGTATATACCTACCCCTTCCTCTACCCCAATTTTGTGCACCATTGTGAAAAACATCAGAAGCAGAGGTTAACAACAAAATAGCGAAACATGAAATCACTCCTTGTTAGAAGAGAAACAACGGTCAAAACGAAGAAAATTCACTCATAAATGGCGCCAGGACCGCAAGTTTTCAGGACGAACAAAATCATGCTGAGCTTATTCCCACAAGTACCCATGATTTTCTGACAAGGTTGAGCGGGGAAGAGACAACACTTCCCATTATGAAGGCAATAATAGGAATGCCTAATCCCATTAAGGCCATGAAGGATTTAGTGCATAAAAAAGAGCCTCCAAACCTACCCCGCAAAAGATAATAACTAAAATTTACCCCCCAAACATGCATATCAAGGATCTTTGAAAGAGCTTGACCCGAGAAGGTTATGTATCCCCTAAAAAATTTATGGATGCCACATACATGATGTGCTTATCTATATCGTGTCCAACATTAACATAATGTCGGTTGGTTCATATAAGAAGATAGGAGGGGAAGATGTGGAACCCAATCCCATTAGCATTCAACTAGCTTATGGCTCCATATACTATGCAAATGGCTTACTACTACAACATCGAGATTACAATAGGATCTTTGATCTTCAATTGTGACTTCGTAGTAGTAGACATGTAACTCACATTACTATACTTTCCCCTACACCAAACCACTTTGATGTCATATGTGGTTAGCATATTTGGTGGCTTGTGTTTAGTGACTGGAGTTGATTTTACGAAGACTTATAGATGGCGAGGATGATCAAGTTATAGAGTTGTCATTACTGTAGAGTTTCAAAGTATGTATTTGTTTCGACCACAATGCTTGATTGTGAATTTAATTTGATCCCAACTTTCATAAAGTTAGACTTGGTTGTATTTCTATTATTTTCAAATGGGTTTAAGGCATCTAAAATTTCAGGAAGGCTATAAGCACAAGACAGCCGTTGGGGTCATGTTTTAGCGCCTAGCACACTTAGGCAGCATGAAAACATGCTTAGGTGTTTTAACCGAAAATAGCAGATTTTAGTATGAATAACAATTTTATAGCACTTTTATATTTATGTTCAAACGATTAACAACTTAACTAACTTTGAATAACAAACAAAATATATCATGATTTTATAAATCCAACTTCATAGAAAGATAGAAATACAAGTTCTTGAAACAAGTTCATAGAAACTACACACACATAAAAACAAGTTCATTCATCATCATCATGAAAATATGTCTGTCCAACCACCATTTCATCTTCAACATCATCAAAAGGATTCTCCTTCCCATCCTCCTCTTCTTCCTTCTCGTGAGACTCGAATTGTTCATCATGGAGCTCTCTCATTCTTGCACTCCTATGAAGTTCATAAACTTGCTCACTAGTTACCAATGCAATTTTTTTTTAAAATCCTTGGTCCCCCATCTCGCTTAAACGCGTGTCTCTTTTCCTAATCAAGCTTCTTGATGAATCATGCCTAACTCTGTCTAAGTATTATGAACGTCTAATTATCTTCCTAAAGCATATATGCGAAATATTTTGTCGCTACCTACCTAGCGCCTAGACGCAACTATATGTAGAATTAAGCATTCTTGAACCCTAAAAAAAATATGTGAAGAAGAAGCTAAAAAATCATAAACCATGCTCTTTCATATCTAAACTTATCGAAAAGTGTATTAACTCGATTGTTTGCTTTATAAAAGAGAAATTGAGGACCGTATTGTATATTTTCTGGAGGCTGGTCCTTGTTGCATATCGTAAGGAAATATTGTGACCTATTAACACATTTGTCGGAGGAAAAGAAGGACACGCACGAATTACGAAACCTTCACAGTTTTTTTTTTCCTCTCCAATAAACTCGAGGCCTTTTCCTTCAAGGACTAGGATTCCCAGCCCCCGCCCCCCAGTGCAAAACCCTAGCCGTTTCTTTTCCGCCATCTCTGCCTCCATTGATAAACAATCCGCAGAGAATCTGATTTCTTTCATCCATCAGACTGTTAATACTTGTGGGAAATTCAAGGGTTGCTTTGCTCCTTTTCTCTGTTCTTTTATCTATTTTGTTCTTTTATAGGACGGCGATGAATCCTCCCAGCAATTTGGTTGAATTTGCAAAAGAGCTCATGCCCGCCGGGATGAAATTCTGCCCGACCGATCAAGAGCTGATAGCCCACTACCTCCACCGCAAGATCACCGGCGGGCTGACCAGGTTCCAGACGGAGATTGTGAAGGAGTGCGATTTGTACGGGGAGGAGGAGCCGTGGCAGATATGGGATAGGTTCAAGGCCGAGACGGTGGTGGATATGGAGCAGAACCTCTACTTCTTCACTCGGCTCAAGTCCAAGAGTACGAACGGGAAGAGGATTCTCCGACGGGTGGGGAAGAACGAAGGGACCTGGCACGGCGAGGATGCCGGCTCGAAGATCAATTGCTGGTCCGAGGCCGAGGGCAAGAATGTTTACCTCACAGGGTTCAAGAAGCGTTTCAATTACAGGAACCTCAAGTCGGACCAGAACGGGCAGTGGATTATGCACGAGTTCAGTTTGAGCAACACCGAGTATGTGATCTGCCGGCTGAAGAATAACAGGGCTGTTCCCGTTCCCTCCACGCCCTTGCTTCCGCTTCCTCCTGCTCCTCTGCAGCTTGAAGATGTTCCCGAGAGGTCCAATTCGCTGGGTGTTAGGAATTTAGATGTAAATAGCTCTGTAGAAACTAATCAGCCGCCCAAAGATGATGGGCGGAAGGAACAGATTCTTGCGGAAAAGAGTGACCAAGCGACGGGGAGGGATGGAAGTCAGCAGGCGAAGGAGAGTGATCGAGAGGTGGATGTTCAGAAGCAGGAGAAAGCTGCTGCTGCTTGTTCTCTGGCAAAAACCGGTATGGAGAATGGACAGGGTTGTGAAAATCCAAAGAGAATTGATGGAGAAACGGATGAGCAGAAGAAGGGAAAGGCTGCTCCTGCTCAGGCAAAGAATGATGGGGAAAAGAGTCCCCAATGCAAGGGTGGTGATGACTTTGATAAGGCCAAGAAGAGTGACCACAGAGAACTAAATGAGCAGAAGAAAAAGGAGAAAGCTGCTTCTGTTGAAGGGAATGAGCGGAGTGATGGCGGAAAGAAAGAGCAGAAGAAGAAGAAGAGGGTGGGTGGTAGACTGTTAAAGAAAGTGGACCAAGTATCCGAGGCCTCGCCCAAGGCAGGGAAGCGACCAAGAGTAGAGGAAGAAGGTCCAGGGGAAGATGAAGCCACTTGTTCTAGCAAAGATAAGAAGGCACGAGGCCAGATGGACTTGCTAATGGAGGTTCTGGGGATAGAATTTTGATTCTGGTCTTGGTTCCGTTTCTCCTTCAGCTGTACAAATAGGTCTTATCTCTTTGTTCATTTCCCAGAATTCAGATTTGGTTTCTGTTTTCTTTTGCTCCATTTGGTCATTTCGTAGTGTCTAAAAGGCCTGCTCCATAGCAAGTGCTATGTTCGAGGTGTTGAAACGCAAATTTACTTGGTTCTTGGGTGAAATGAGATAAATGTTTGATTATGGCTCGATTTTCTGATGTGTTTACGAGTTTCTGACCTGTATCTAGTATGAAGAAGAAAATATTGGCAATGGGAAGAGTTATTGGCATCTACTTATCATGAACTTCTGGGATTTTAATGGAGGCGGTGCTGTATTCAAAGGCCTTCTGCTTCTTTATTTAGTAAACACTAGTTGATATCCCAATCCAGGACTTGTGCATTTGAAGACCTTTCGGTTAACTCTACATAAGAGCAATTGGCGGGAGTCAAGTGAAAGTGTTTCTTCTGAGAGAAGCCTTTAAGTGTCTTACAGCCAATCCTAAGCACTTCGACAATGCCCTCCAGATTTGCTGCAAGGTCAATGTTGTCAGCAGCTGCTTCATCACAGGTATTACAAATATTGTTGTTGACTTGAGGATGATTAAGGTACTAGTTAGATCTATATGGTGTATTCTTCTTCTTTGCCATGGCGCGGAGAGGGGGAGCTCGATGATAGTCTGGTTTCTATCCAACTTTGTGATTGCATGTAATTGCAGATAGTATACAATGCATAGTTAATTTTCAATACTTGAAGCATGAGAAGTACATGTTGGTTCAGAGATTCGACCCATCGGCAGTAATAGATAAAGCATTTCAATCTCAATTCAGCTCAGGAAAGAGTCTCTTTATAGTTTCCTGTTTGGGGAAACGTTCATACTTCTAAAATAAAAAGCTGCAACCGGAAGCTGGTTCAGGGCAAGATCTTATATACTATCAGAGAAGGTGCAAAGCGTACACTGGAGGCTTTTTTTTTTGCGCTGATGTATCAGTTATTTGATGCTTTTGCTCACATTGTACTTTCTCGCTCCCTGAGACGTCCTTGAAATTAGATCTAATGTGAAGAGAAGCTTCTGATCTTGTAAGTAAGTTCATGGTGGTTAGATACGCAGGAACTTGTAGGTGCGTACTTAGATGAGGGAGGACTATATATTCTCCATTCTAAGTATCATGACTTTTCGATTCTCCAGAAATCAGAGTTACTGCAGTGAGCACAATTCATATTTCTGATTATTAATATCGTTGTTGTTGTTATTATAATTATGCCTATCTTCTCTTTGTTCCATAACTGCGGAATCCTTGAAACCATTTTTCCTCAACTTTCTACTTGTCGAAGTTTTGCAGATGACGAAAGGAATGACGTTTTGCAGATGCATCCAGTGGATGTAGCAGGGCTCAGCAAAATTACATGGAGAGCAAAGCTGTCACTGATGCCAAGAGTTTGGTGGACGAGCTATATCTGCAGTTGTGTACACAGACCAGCTTATTGTCATGTCTCCTTCTGGTAAAACTCTCACTCTATCCTCTGAAAAATACATGACGAATCGCTTTCTATCTCGTGCAGGTATCCCAATAGAACAAATGGTTCCACAAGATATGTGCGTTATGTGGTCACAAGGGTTCGTGTTGTCAAGTTCTAGCCCCAAATCCAATTCGCATCCCCCACAGCGCGCACCTGCAAAGTGTACTGATTCTGCTTCTCTGTTTATGAAGGTGGATTATCCATCTGACTCTGCTTCTCCTCCAAGTTTACAATTTGCTGTTGTACATTTATGGTTAGTCTTCTATTCACTGATAAGTTTGAGTTTCACGATTCCTTAATAGGTTACCTATTCTTAGGATCGTTATAATAGCTAGTTGTCTGACGCATTTACAACAGATTATACAAGGAATTTAACTTGATATTAGTGCCTTCACTCACAGATCTTGTGTTTGAATCCTTGTGGACTCGATAGTAAGAGTTGATTCAAGTACAAAACTGTGGTAAAATGAAGCTTATAATTTGGTCAGAAAAGGACGTGTAAGAGAATGTAGCTTTGTTTATCTCCACATCTGAAATCCGAATTAACGAATGCAGCTACAAGTCTGATACAAACGTCAAGTCGTCTTCACGCGCCAACGCTTCCTAGATAATAAATCGGAGGGAAGGCTCGTAGATGCTCGCCTTCGGCACAACTGTTTCTAATTCGGCCTATACTTCAGCTCCCGATCCACTTACGTTGGACGAATAAACGACAATCTTACTATGTGAAAAAACTTCGATGTGACAATGAGAACAGAAGCACCTCAGTTTGTGGATCAAAGTCCACGACTAGGATGGCAATCAAACTCATGGCCGTGGGTACTCGACCGCCCCCAACTCAGTCAACGCGGGGAATTTCCGTTTTTGACCGGGTATAGGACCGGTATGGGTAAAACCCGCAAAAAGTTTGATGGGTATGGGGCGGGTATGGTTTTAGCCTCCCCCGCCCCATACTCATACCCATATCCGTCCCACCAAGAGAATTTCTTCACATATACAAAATATATGGATAAAATTGTAATCTATCAATGGTGATGAGGATATCTCGAGGAAATAAATAGTAGAAATGCAATTGAGTGACCACCTTAATAAAAAAACCTAATTCATTTCTCTCCATTCTCCTTTCACTCTTTCACTTTCCCCCTTGTCAACAAGATTATGTTAGTTAATTATTACTTAGTAGATGTATCAGAGTTAGAACATAATAATTTGAAAAATATTATACTCTATATTATGTATTAATGAATGTTTTAGGATCATATTCTTTGAACCGTATTAAGAAAATGATCGAGTTTTGTTGAATTTGTGATATAATAGGTACGTTTAGAGTTGTAGTTAAAACTTTTCATGTAAATTTTAGGATAATAATGTTGGATGTACGCGTATAGGGATGGGTTTGCTAAACATTCGCCCGCATGGGTATGAGGCGGATATGGGTTTGGATATTTGAAGATGGGGATGAGGATGGTTTAGCCAAACCCGCCCCATTGCCATCCCTATCCACGACCAACTTCTTAAAAGTTAAAACCCAAAAGCCCATTTGAGAGAGACTATCTCGCTTTAAGAGTTGTTTAAATTAGGGGTGTTGAAATGGTTGTCATACTAATTATCAAATTAAATAAGTCTAAATTCTATCAACCATGAAATATGATATTATAATCAAATCGTCCAAATTAATAAAAAAACCAAATTAATCTAGTTAAAGTTTAATCAGGTTAATTGATTAACCAAAATAACCAATATACCATTACATTATCATTAAGTGAGAATTTGTTTTCAGTTAGTGCATTAATTCACAATTTATATAGTGAATAACACATCTTTGGTGGAACATTTCTGTTTCCCACCTCCAATCAATAAATAAAAAATATAGTGAATAACACATAACGATCAACACAAAATTATTGTTAACCCTTAACATATAAATACATGTAACTAATAGAATTATCTCACATTTGACTCTTGAGTGGTTATGCAAAATATTAAGTATTTAAAAAAATACATTATTGTTATTAAACTAAGAAAAATATAAACAACTACAAGAGAAGATTAGAGAGGGAAAGACACAAGAGAAGAGAGGGGAAGACTTCTTCTTATTCATTCTTCACTTTTGATACAATGGTGTGTTATATTTATAGGAACACTTTGGTAACTACTACATCCTTATATCAATGCATATGAATGAGAGATAATGATGTAGAAATAGGGGTTACATGTAACTCCCAAGTGAGCATCTGATGTGGTAGGTCATTGGTCATCCATATATCAATATTTACATAATACTCCCCCTTGGATGACCACTAGATTGCATTACGCTATATCATACTGCCTCGTTACAAACCTTACCAGGAAAACTCATTGGGAAAAAACCATGGTTAAGGGAAAAAGAGTGCAGTGCGTATATACTCCCCCTCATGATCACATCACTTCAGATTATTGAGTCGTTGAACTCAAATTTCATGAACAATTTTTAGAAAGATTGTTGTCGGGAGTGAGTTAGTGAACAATCTTCTAGATTGTCAATTTGATGCATGATCTTTAGATTTTCTTCATGCATGATCGTCAGGATCATTTCATTTGAAAATAGTTCACAACCACAAGTACTTGAGATATGGTGGATCACAAAGTGTAACGAAATACATTAAGGACTTGCCCATTATAGTTTGTTTTGTTTCTTTATGAAACATTTATATCACCATATGTAAGAGATAGCTCGTCTCCGATAAACCAATATGAGGATCAAATGATATATAGGATTTGGATATATAGTTTATCAAATCTCTCTTTGATAATACCATAATAGAACAATCGCATATATTGTTCCTGGAGGTAACAAAGTATTTTCCAACGTTCTAATGAGGGAAACATTGTATCTTGCCAATATTATCAACACCAAAATGATAGTTTATATGGTGCTTGGCTAGCAAGGTGCATTGGTGCTCTAATGCATCAACATATGGTACTTCATGACCTAATGTTTCACTTCTTTCTTGATTTCTAAATGGATCTTTGGTCACTTCTAGTGATCTTAGGATCCGAATGTTATTTGATGAACACAATTCGTTCATGCAAAATTACTTTCCCACTTTTTCAACATTACCTTCCTTGCTCATAAAAAGGATCTTAAATCCTTCAATTTTACTTATGTCTCGAAGCAATCAACTGCTTTAGGAAGCTCTTCAGGAGATCCAATAATAGTCATATCATTAACATAATATGAGATCGTAAAAAAAAAACTTAACTAACACAAATTGATGCAAGCAATTCTTTCATATAACGAAAGATAATAACAAAACTCACATCATAGAAACATATGAACTATAAAAAGCACACTCATAAAACACAACTCATACTTTAAAGTAAATCACAACTCATAAATCAAGAATTTAAAATCCTTGAAACACATACAGACAACACAACTATATATGGACAATGCAAATACTCGTATGCACTCTATCTGAATTTAACCTTTTAAGGTCCATTCACCCTACTGTTGTAGGTGTTCACTTAGACGAGTATTTCACATTCGTCTATATTGTCTCAACCCACACAAGGGATTTTCTTAGTCTATCTATATATGTTCTCGAGAACTTTACTTGTTTACTTCAGGTAAATTAATCCTTCTAGGAGTAATTAATCCTTCTGGGAGTTTCAAATATATTTAACATCTTCAGGGAATTCAAACAAATAGGCTATCACAATAATTTTTAAACATTGATTTGAAAAAATAGTTGCATCCACCACAAGGGAGTATAACTCCTCTTAAACAATGATAGGTCTCTTCGAGAAACCCATTGCAAAACATTATGCGATATCTCTCACAATTTTATACTTTCCAATAGCATAAAAAATTGTTTATATCCCGCTAGTTTTGCCCTTTTTTAGGTGCAAGGACTTTTGGTCCTTAAACTTTATGCTCCTTGAGCAAGTTTCATGATTTCTTTCTATATTGGCCAATAACATCATCATTTGCATGTATCAATAGAGTTTTACTCTTGATCCTCACTTGTACATATCATATTCAGTACTGAAGTACAACAAACAAATTTCATCGACAATGATTTCATTACGGTTCTAGTATTGTAGTCTAATATGGTTTTGAGATCTCTTCGCTTTCATAACTTTCAGAGACATGCGTTCTTCTGGAACTAAAATTATATTTTATTCTTGGTTACTCTTCTTGAGTTTTCATGTCATCGAGTTGACCATTCTAATTACAGCTTCTTTTCTTTCTCAAGGATGTTTATCATTGGAACCAATTGGTCTATCACGCTTCATGCGCTCTTTCATACACATTTTTTTATATATTAGAGTATCCAACAAGGATGTCAAATTTAGTTGGAGCATTCACAGATAGTATATGTGACTTGGTCACTTCGCATGACCAGTAAAGGCATTTGATAGTTGGTAACGATAATTCATCTTATGAACTTCAGGTTCATGTTTCTTACTTTGAGGATCAAAACTAGATAATGATAACTCATTCCAACTCATCTCTTTGTCTAGCTGTTTTTTTTCTCTCCCCCTTAATGTTGGAAAAGTGATTCATCAAAACAATAATTTCGCAAACAAATTTCCCATTTGGGATTCATACCCAACACAAATTCTCAATTTCCAACGAGAATCAACTTAAGATACTATGGTGGAGTAATTGGGATGTATGCGGCACACCCTGATATTCTCATATGAGAAATGTTAGGTTTTGACCAAAATTATTTGTAAAAGGGGGGAACTTATGATTACTTGTTGGTTAGATGTGAACCAATACTATCACTTGCCAGATAGCATGTCCTCGACAAGAGACCAGAAGACTTAGTTTGTTCTCTTAAGCAAAGTGATGTTTGATTGGATAACCATGAAAATGTATCCATAGTGAGGCAATCAATCTCGCAAACATCGGGTTGCGATTAGATAAAATAAAAGTGATCATATAAAATCTCAAGAGATTTGCCAACTCTTATACATGCTCTGATCAATTGTTCTATTTTTTTTGAGAACAAACATGGCATAATAACTCTTTTAGTTGAAGAGTTCTTTGACTTCTCATATGATGTTCTCATGAATTCTTAAAGAAATTTTTTCACATCAAGATCCTTGATGGTCTAACCGGACAAACCAATTATCAAGTTATCAAATCTTGTAAACTTCCGGTTTACACTTTTATGTGTACGGATTGTACTAATATACATGCAGTACATATTTGTTATGCAAAT